TATATATATATGCTTACGCACATTCTCCACGGCACAACGGACGAAATAAGTGTCAAATATAATACTAAACCAAAAGGTGAGATTTCACGTTGGGGTAGGGAGTGCTACTCGTAATAGGTAATTTATCACCTGATAGAGGATCCTCTCCACCAATCATTCTCTCGTCCCTTTGAACGGGCATTATCATACCATTGTGCAATGGTGAGACGATCGGCATATGATGCCTGTTGTAGAATCAACTATATGTATAGCTCATCTCGCCCACGCTTCCATCCACTCACCTGCACATAATCTCAATCCTCACAATTGTCGCACTATTAACACATCATGTCAAGTCTCTTGTATAGGATGTACAGTTATCGCTTAGTTTCCACCACTACTAACCAATATCCCGTCCCTGACTCATATCGCTATCGATGTTCCACATAGGACCACAGTAATGGTGGACAATACTGTACTCTCCGCGGACAGCTATGGAAAATACTGCTCCAAGTGGAGACCATCTCAGGTACACTGCTCTCTCTTATTGATATATATTAGTTTGCACTAGTTTTCTTTCCAGCCTGAACTCATAAAAGCAGCGATCTGAGCTATCGGTCTGGTGTATCGCTATATTTTATCCTGTGTCTCAATATGTAATTTTCTGATACCAGATATGGGGTCCAGTATGCCATCGTACCGTGTCAGGTTCGTTACAATCTCAACTGGTTGAATTGAAAGACAGGTCCGATGTATTGGGACATCGTATCGAGTGCACTTATTTGCCATCTTCGGTAAATCGAGTTGGTTGTCTGCAAATCCATACTTCATATGAGTACTTCTGCCTTCTTGTTCTTAAAAAAATGTATCGATTTGCATACCCAGTTGATTCGGACATCCTGTCCAGTTGTTTTGTACCAGTTGGGTGTGGTATAATCAGTTCTCCCTGCGGTAACGTTCTGTTCAGACTATACCAATTACTCATAGCGGTCAAACTTTACGTTCTTTGTAATTGACTATGGTGCCACATCTGGTGCGGTAGCCTATCATATAGTATGCATATCAATACAGTTGAAAGTAGCTGTGCGCACTACACCGTGATTTCTGGTGCAGTAACCTATCGTTCTAAGTTCAAAGTAGCATGGTCAATGGCCCACCAACTAGTATTCGTCGCATACACGCGTTTATCTTATCGGCATACTATGTCAGGCGCACTGAAATGCCAGTTTACAGATAACACTTCGCCATGCTCGAGCGTACTGTCCTGTCATATTGATCCAAGATAGTCTTGTTGCGGTGTGTAGTCTGCCTCGTGGCTGAAATAGAACAAGCTATCTCCTGCCACACCACACCGTGCGAGCTTAGATGAATACCATGTGATCTACATCTGTCATCACTTATTTTGCAGCCAGGGCCACTTTACTAACGATATCTTTAATGCACGACGACAGGCGACGAATATGCCTCGTTGGTGTCCAAGGGACGTTCCCAAGTCCATGGTATGTGAATGCGTCGGTGCTGTACTTTACCTCACAACGTATTCGATCGATGTCACTTACAGCCGGGAATCAGATACTAGTATTTACCACTACTTCGTGACTCAGTGAACGTTTTAAGTCGCATTCGATGGGTGCACCGTGCTCACTGCTGACACTTCTTTGAATGAGGCCGCTGTCGAAATGTTGCGTTTTCCAGTACTTACTGTATGTTTAGTGTTCGCATGGTGAGCACTTAGCTGACGACATCTTTTCCGCAAACCTATTTCTTTGGTACAGATAAGATAAAGAACGACGTGTTCCGCACTTTTAAAAACGACACCGAATTTAGACAGCGCGTGGACGAAAACCAAATTACAAGAGGTTTAAATGCCCTTGCGCATAAGATGGTGGAAGGTGAGTGCACACGGCGGAGTTTAGTTCTGGTTGGTTGTGACTAAAGCGCGCTTTGTCACTTTAGCTGTTTTTTGGTTGCACGGTGATGATTTTGCGTAAGTGGTGTATATCGGCTGTATACTCGTCCCTTTCTGTAGTAGTTCACATAAAGCATTCCTCGCAAATTGTCCACGCTCAGTTGTACGAGAGAAAAAACATGTCTGCAAAGGTGCTCCAGTATCAGACTGGTCTTATGCCTATCTGAATCCGTAGCTCAATACATAATACAACTTTAAACTAAGACCACATCATAAAAACTTGTTTCTCCAGATAAGACCCATACAAGGATATCGTACGTCCAGGGCATGAACGTATTGTTGGCCCCTTTCCTCTATGTCATGCCTGAGCTGGATGCCTTCTATTGCTTCCACCGGCTTTTACACAGACATATACCCAGCTACGTAGATACCAATTGCACAGGAGTACACACAGCTCTTCAGGTGAGCACACTTTGATAGCTCTGTGGATTGTTTTCGTTTGGTGTGCGGTAGATCCGACTCAATATTGCTTTTTCCAGTTATCAACACCATGGCCTATAACATGCGCAATAGTACTGTGGAAGAGGGTTTACTCTGCCCATGGTTGATATAAACTCGGTACGGGTGTGTGAGCAGTGAGTTGATGCTTCCTCTATCGATCATTGTATATTTGTATGTCTGTACTATTAGGCTCGATAAGACATGTATAAATAGACATCAGCAAATACCTTCAGAACAGAATATTTGCCTAAAGATTTTAGGCTATATTCATGTTAAAAACAATGCTATCGCCTTGCATAGAGTCCTGATTGTCGATACTACATCACTTTAAAGTCTGGTGTCAAGCTTATACACTGTCTGCGTGAGATATGCTTAGGTGTAACTGAACTGTTAGTCATGCGCGTTCATCATATACAACACTCAACTCTGGGGGGTTGATTGCCTGTGTGTGAATCCGCTACTTCATACATCCAGATCGTTCTGTGAAGCAAATCGGCGTGTTCCATGTATGCTTCCTAGTTTAGTATCCTCGGAGTGAGCCCATCGTGCCCTCACTTACGCACATCGTCCCCATAGGTATACGCAACACGCCTGCGTATCACATTTATATGGACCTGCTAAAATTCTTCACTGTACGTGCTGAATGCACTACTGCGCATTCCCTGGCTGCAGCTATTCACAGAGTGCCTCAAACACTGCGATGCTGATCTGTACGCAAAGCTGAGAACCATTCCCGTCGAGTCATATGCCTTCTCCCGTAAGTGCGCGTCAGGTTCAGTGTAAGGGCGTAGTAAACAGTGTATTGAATCCAGCCCATTCGCAGTAGCGCAGTAGTAGTCCGCTTTCATGCAGACTGGGATATGTCCGCGTTCACTGATCAGTGGATTGTACAGTGTGTATTCGTAGTCCCCTCTGTGGCGCATGGATTTCTCACTGGCGGTCGCGAGGCAAGTTCTTTCTCCTTCCCGATTTATGTCGCACACTCATGGACCGTATAGCTGGCGTAGGCACCCTTCTCTTGCTGTGCAATGTGCGACTCTGGTGGTTGTCCACTGCTGTAGCTACAGGACGCCCTTGTGCACTACACGGGGCCATGGAAGTTGAAAAAACTCTTCTGAGATCGGAGGCCAGCAATGATAGCAACTTTAGGTTGCGATGACGGTCAACAGCACACGTGACATAAATGCCACACCGTTGTTAGGGAAACTATGAGCAGCTCGGTACAACTATTGTGTCTCGGTACAACTATTGTGTCGCTATGCGCTAGTTTGGGTTGCAAATAATATTGTGAGCTAGATACAATGATTCATTCTTTTGTGCTCATGGCAAAAATTGGTTCATACCTGCAGCGATCATGTCGTTACTGGCTGGTTCCCCGCCACTGTCGGAGGTCCTCAGATTATGGGACTTTATGTTCGCGTTTGGAGCGCACCTCAACGTCATATGTGTACTCGCACAAGTGATTGGCTTAAGAGATGCGATCCTGGCAGAAAAAAGGTACGGAATTCTGGTTTTCACATGCACATGAATAATACATTTACCCAATTCTGCGCGTGAATACTGTTGGTGTCCACCTCGCGTTTATATAGCCAACGCATCAGACTGACAAAGACCACTAGCTTAAGACTATACGGCCGTACCATACACATGTGCACAACCTTTCATCGCACAAGTGGCTATGTCGATTAACATAACGAATGATTCTGGAATTACTTATTGTGTATTGCACAGTTCACACCAGCATAGTCTACATACATTTTAGCTCCACGAGGGGGGGTTTCACTTACAAGGTCGACCTCCGTACGTTGTACTCATAAGCACAAGAATTCATTATATATATATCTGTGTGTATGTCTATGTGTATATCTGTGTGTGCGTCACCACATGTATTTCTGTGTTGCGCACGCAACTATACTCACTTATGCTTTGAATGAGTATCTATACAAACAAATTTCATTTACATTACAGCCCAGCCAATTTGCTCCGGAAGTTACCACCTCTCGATTCTCATGCCATCATCACGACCGCTACACTCCTGGCGAGAGAGCTCCCAGACGGATTGTACCTTAAACTAACTACCCACGCGCGCATGTCGCACTCGCAACCGCAAATGCGGGCGCAAATACACACCGAGGTCCACGCACGCCCACCGCAATCAGGTCAGGTGCTTTATAATGGTGCACATACTCAGGCACACAGCGGTACTGCAGAACACGGGGTAGGCAGTAGTACGGATGTAGAATCACTACAAGCAACCAGACCGCATGTATCCAAAACACTGTCACAGAGTCGCATAGACACACCTCTGGTCGATGTCAGGACATCACATTCAGAGGAGCACATTGTTCAGGTGGGTGATGGTATATCGCAGCAAGATATGTTCACACAAACAAAGGGGTTCGTACATCAACCGCTCGAAGGCGACGGGCGTACGCCCCGGGGATTGAGCGTGGTAGCGGTTGGTTTCTAGAATTGCACAGGATATATGTAATATGTAAAAAAGGTGAAAGACACATAATCGACACTGGGTTACATTCACTGATTTCCCTTCCTATACACTACATTTCCATTGGTACACCTTTGATGCGTTCACAACATCGATCATCTTTGTTTTCTCGCCCTCTAAACATGCGTTACCCTCTGATATGCGTTTGGACCGAATGCTGTGCGCATGCAATGATAAATTGGTACATTTCATCTCAAACTTTGCTTGCAGCAATAACTGTATCGCCTATATGCCGAGCAAGATTGCCCACTGCTTTGTACTCTTTCTTCGGTTATGTTTTGCGCACCTAAACGATATGCGCGCACGTGTCTTTGTAGACTAAACTAGCCTACTATAAAATAAGATAAGTATTCTAGGAGAATTATCTCTGAACAAGACCTTAAGGCACATAGGGACTGTAAGTACATTTCCTAATCTTGATCATTCGATTTGCTAAAAACTCATTTGTCCGCCCATGAATTTCTACCGTGAAGATATTATAGAATATACATACTCTGGATAGTCGACCGTCTTTCCTTTCTGCGTTATTTCAATCTCAATATAAGGACATCCTAACTGCTCTACCGTGGTGTACAACCAAAAGGCATCCTCACTGCGCTTGGGCCATTACTTGTTGATGGCGCTACTCTGCGGTTCACAGCCCCGCACTTTGCGCCACAATACAGCGGACGATACCCAGACGTATGCTTAAGGGTCGAGGAGAACTTCACGGGATGCACCACAGCAGCTGCATGTGTACACCAAGTATACAGCACTAGTCTTAGTCTTCTCTTGGGCTACAATGAGTAAGATAGCGTTGGACGTTCGGGATTATTGTATGGGGCATAGTATGCCGTTCCTACTTAGAATCAAAGCAAAGCAAACCGTTATGTCCAGAAAGCATAGCAACCCCTATAATTTCGGGTCTGATTGCATTTTCAGATTTAGATGAGACGATGCAGAGCAGACTATCACATACTGGCTTTTATAATGTCTGGCCAGATGTTTGGATGTACATATGTGATGTAGTCCAGCGCCAGCTCTGTGTATCGTATCCTAGGACTACCAGGTGTGCCGGACAGATAGAAAGTGCTATGAAGATTATGTGTAATAATAACGAGAGACCCATTTCCACTTCAATTGTCCGCTTCCTTGCTATTATTCATTCAAGTCAGGTGCACCCGCCAAAATGTATAAAATACGGCTGGGACGCCGCGGGGACTGAAAGCGTTTAATCATGGAGGGTAGTTATTCGTTTTATATACATATGTACATATAACTTGTGAACATATTATTTCTGAAATTGAAGAATTCCAAGAGGGTCTACAAATAGGCAAAAAGCGTCACGGACAGATTTTGCGTAACGGACAAAAAATCGGTGATAAAGTCGAAAGGGACTTAAGAAAAGCTTACGCTTTCAGTAATAAATAAAGGTTTAATTAATGAAACCTATCTACTTCCAGAATTTTCGCATCGACATGTTCTTCTCCGAGTCCTTCTGCATGATCTTGCTGACGGCCATCTCGAAATCTTCCTGATTCACGTGCACGCGGCGTTCTCGCAGTGCGTACATACCCGCTTCAGTACACACCCCCTATGTAGTATTTAATTCAAGTATTGGGTGTGAGGTGTCTGGTGATAAATTCATTCATACCCGCTTCAATACACACTCCCTTCGTAGTATTTATTCATTTATTGGGTGTGAGGCGTCTGGTGATAAATTCTTTGGGTGTGAGGTTTCCGGTACCCATTTGATTGCGCAGTGAGTTCTGGCCAATCCAAGCCAATCACACCTCAAGTACCGAGCTATATACACTGAAAGACTACAGCCGAGTGAATTCATTAAGTACCGAGTGCACGTCGACCCTTACGTGGACGCTATACAGATGCGATCGCGCAGTACATACAAAAGCAGGCACATATACGGACACAACCACGTTCACAGATACACACCTTCACTTCAGCACCGCTTGCTCCGGGCATGGTGTCTGCGATCTTTGCTAAGTCAATGTTTCTCGTCAAGTTCATCTTTCTCGAGTGGATTCGCAGAATATCTAAACGCGCCTGCACTCGTAAAGTTAAAATACATTTGTGTATATACATAAATACATCAATTGAGCGGATGCGACAATAGTATCAACATGGCCTGATGTGACCTTTGGTGGAAACTGTTGAAACCATTTCATGCAGTGAACGACTGGTTTCAAGCAGAAATTCTGACGCCTTCGGTAGTGTCTCTGTATTGATGAGAAAAGGATTTCTTGCGACACGAACGAGAAACGAGTTCAGCGGGTATACATATATATGACGAAAATAAAGGATTGTGCTCAAAACTACCACCCGGCTGAACGTGTACTCCAACGAAACCACCCAAGGATAGCATATGTATAGATTGATTGTACATGTATGCCCTGTCCGCATTCCGCTGTTAAAAAGAACCGAGACTCTGAAGACTAAGTACATTGACGTAAACGGCTTGTATAGGCCCACATTCACATAAATACACAGACACGGACATAAATGTGTGCTTTGGGCATATAAATACACATTCACGGGCACAAACGTGTACTAACATGCATCACACTTGCGCACACGGGCACAAATGTGTGCTTATAGACACGGCTATGGCACCAGCACTCAGCAACTAGCCCATAACACGCACAGCACTCAAGGTACAAACATCAGGAATGGGCCCAAAAGCTACGTCATGTGCAACGCTGCCTTATAGGCACAAGGTGAAACACCCTTATAACGCACCGCATCGTTTGGTGCTGGGAATTCGATTTTGCGGTCAATACGTCCAGGTCGCAATAGAGCCGAATCTAGGATATCGATACGGTTGGTGGCCATGATGACCTTGATGCTCTGAGTTGCTTCGAAACCGTCCAATTGATTCAGAAGTTCCTGTGTTAAGTGTATTGAGGGGAGTTGTACGGTGAGGCCGAGGGACATGCGTGTACTCAGACAAGTGAGAATGATGCACGCACATGCACGAGCTCAGGCTGGTACGAGCGGATGCATATAGAAGTACACATGGAGATATAGACATACAAGCCCGCACAAGCAAGCAGACACACACGCAATATACAAGAGACTACATGCATGCTAAAACACAAACCAAACCAGCAATAACCACGCGGAAACTGACAAGCAGGGACAGACACACGCACACAGCACGCTCTTAAATATCAAGCGTCTCACATGCGTGAGCAACTCGACGTAGTTCGCTACACCTAATAGTGATCACCGCCACCACTGTCGCCAAGGCTGCTTCCAATACTGTCAATCTCATGCATACAGGCAATTGAAGCCATATGCTCTCGAACCAAACCTCACAGAAATGAATAAACAAGCACACACACACACACGCGCACACACACGCAGACAGACAAGCGCAATAAGATTTTCAGAGCACCTCGCAGGCGTATACATACCAACATGGTTCGCTGTACCTCACTGTCACCACCACCACCACCACTGTCGCCTCGACTGCTTCCAATACTGTCGATCTCGTCCATAAAGATAATCGAGGGGGCGTGTTCTCTGGCCATAACGAAGAGTTCTCGCACCATGCGCGAGCCCTCACCAATGTACTTCTGCACCAGCTCTGACCCGGACACGCGGATAAAGGTGCACTCGGTGTGATGTGCAACCGCTCTATGGGGAAAAATATACATGTAGAGATTCAATACGCGATTATAGACGTGCATGGGATTAAAAGTGTGTTTTCAGTTTGCAACAGGCTCGCGGATATAGGGGGTACTCGGTGTGATATGCAACCGCTTTAGATAGAAAGATGCCGTAGAAGAATGTGAACTTGAGGCCAAAGAAGTGGACATGATAAAAAGGGGTGTGTGGTATTTGAAGCAGATACGCAAATACAGGTTCACTCGGTGTGATGTGCAACCGCTATATGATAGATATACAAATAGAGAAGAGAATGAATACATGGTGTACAGACATGAATGGGTTACAGATGTGTGTGTTCTGTCTGAACCGGACGCATAGAGAAAGGTACACTCGGTGTGATGTGCAACCGTTCTACGGGCGATATCCTTGCAGAGAAGAGAGTAGATTCACTGCTTAGAGACGTAAAATGGAATACTGATGTGTGTGTTCTGCCTGGACAGATGCATGGATAGTGCTGCACTCGGTGTGGTGTGCAACGGCGCTATGGTATATATACATGAGGAGAAAACGTTTCCGTTGTCGAGAAAGCGAATTGGGTACAGAACGCTTCAAATGTGTTTTGTGTGAGAATAGAGTAGATACATCCGCTACCCAGTAGCTCCTGAAGTGCTGCTCACTTAACATGGGTGAAGACTCGAGCTCTTTCACGTTTGGCATAAACTCGCTAAACGAAACATCACAGCCTTGAGATAACGACACACCAAGACACACACACTAAGCAGAATACATATGGCCGCAACCGACATCCAACTGATTCGAATCACACCAAACCAAGCTCACCTCGCAGCGCCACAACATACTACGTAAAAACAGCAAGAGCAACACAACCAGACGAATCCCAACAAAAAAAACGTCATATAACAGATCGCCAAAAACCCGCAAGCAGAACAACGATTCCATGGAAACACACAACAACTAACACATCACACACACAAAGTACCAGCAGGCAATGGAAAACACAAAACATATCCCGACACATGTCAATTCACATCACAAACCGCATCCCGATAAAGCTTAATACACAACACAATATAACAATGAACAAATAAAATACAATGCATAACACAATAAACAAAATGTAACACAATGCACAACACAATATAACACAGTGCACGTCAGAAAATTAAACAATACATAACACAATATATTGTTATACAACACAATAAAACACAGTAGACAACACAATATAACAAAATACACAACACAATACACTAAATATAACTCAATGCACAACGCAATAAAACAAAATACACAACACAATATAAAACAATACACAACACAATATATTGTCATACAACACAATACACAAACACAATATAACACAATACACAACTCAATATAACACAATGCGCATACCCAATTTAACACAATACACAAACCCAATACACAACACAACAAAAAACACAGTACACAACGCAGTAGGTACCTGGCCAGCAGGGTCTTTCCGGTTCCAGGAGGTCCATAGAGGAGCACACCCTTTGGCTGCGCAATACCCAGCGCTTCGAAGAGCTCGGGATGCTTGACGGGCAGTTCAATGACTTCTTTGATCTCCTTGATCTGCTTATCCAGACCACCCACCATTTCGTATGTGGAGTCGGGCACCTTCTCCACCATCATCAGACTGACCAGTGGATCGACTGCGGGAGGCAGGGTAGAGTAGTGCGTATTATGGTAGCAGTGTGAGTTTGTGTATTGTATAGGGTTTAAGGGGTTTTAGGGTTTAGGATTTAATATGTATGCGTAAAGGCGAGAGAAACATTGATCTATATATAGATCCAACCATTTCGCATCTGGACCACCATCATAGGACTTGTCAAAACAATGACTCGTGGGTTCAGTATACAGTTGTGTGCACATCAACGGTGTGAGGTCAAGTACAGAAAGGAATGTATATGCGTGTGCACACGAGAGCGTTTGATTTCCTGCGGTTCTGTGCGTAGAAACTGTGAAAGTACACACAGCAAATCTTGCGTACCCCCGACTATTAAAGCTTAACTGTCGTGAGAACAATTCTGCCGGCTGTCAGATACGACCCCAAAAGCCTGATTCTGGTAGAGCAGTACACACACTCAGTTGCTGGCTCAGACTTCCAACGGCACTCAATTGCTGATCAAAACCACCATGTACACAATAATCCTCGCGATTATCTCTACCACTGAACAAACATACTCTTGCTGGGTAAGATCTTGTGCAACGTGTAGGATTCGTATCTCAGGGCCACCCGCAACGTTGGCTTGAGCTCTGTGATGTCAATGTCCTTATCCAGATCAGCCACGTATTTGCCCTCGGGATGTACCTACGCCACACACAAGCAATGACCAAACATGTGTAAGATGAATGCACATCTATACCGAGTATGGGAATGGAACCGGTTTGTGAGACGCTACCGCTACAGCTACACCAAGCACAGGTGAGAGGCGCCCGGGGGATCTCGGCTCAAGCGTGGGTGAGCTATGATTTGCGCGATGGTGTAAGCCGCCGAGTCGAAGTCCGAACTACGACATGTGGCTTAGGACTGTACGTACCACGCTATGTGTGCACTTGACATTGCGAGGAAGTAATCAGCACAGATTACTTTATGGAAGTGAATGCCCATTGAAGTGCCGGCAGAAGTGGATTACTAAAAAAACAACATGTGCGGCACCACATCTATAGTATTTGTTGCTGCCGAATGTATCTACGGTTACATAGCTAAGTATACATCCAGAGAACATCGAAGATATCTACCCACTGCCCTACTTAATATCCGCAAATAGTTGTATACGGACAGCTGTATGCAGAGATATAAGGAGAGCTTACACGCACAACTGTGTGACACGTTGTGTGCCATCGCGTGACTGACTGTATGTGCGGCCAAGCGCTAGCCAAACGTACCAGCCGTCTCACGATTACAGGGCATACACGTCTTGCGACATAGTCGATGGTATATATCCACTCCCACACACAATGAACACAATGCCCACTTCCGCACGTCAGTGAAAGTGACCTTGACAGAGAGAACGCATTTGATACCTCCTTGCGCGCAGTGCACACACAAGAACAGCCGAGTCTTTTATACATGCGTCCTCGCGCGTTCTCAGACCATACCTTGACGAGCACTTTAGTCTTGCTGAGCACTTTGACGACCTCTCCTACGTACGACCCCATGTCCTGTAGCTTCTGCAGCTCCTCGCGGAGGTTGCGCACTGGGATAGAGCAGGAAGCCACAGTGAGCGACAAGTGCAGTATATTACAAAGTAATCGATATGAAACATTGGTAAATACGACAGGTAGTGGTACTCTACATGGAATGACGCGTGACATGGTGACATACTACTGCATGCAATCGATGCAGAGATTGGTAGATACGACATGCGGTGGTACACTACACATAGTAATACATGACATGGTGGGATACTACTGTAGTGGGCCACAGGTTTGGTGCATGTCGAAGCAATCGATACAGTCACCGGCGTATACTATACGTAGCAATAAACTATACAGTGAAACACATGAGCAGAAAGCAAGATACTACAATTGATAGGAGAAGTAGGTCAAGCCCAATAAAGTTCATTCTACCGAGAAGCACACCACCACACTCGATAGTCTTTCCGATATATGCACACAAAAATGTGGAGAGTCGTGACAGCCGGTGTAGTATGATATACCTTCAAGTCTAAAGGCGATACATAGCTTACAACAGAGACAGTATACTGTACATAGAAACACACGGCAGGTGGTACCAAAACGACGAAAAAAGTCTCTGGAGTCCAGTAAGTGTGGCATGAGATACCCTCAAATCTAAAGATAACAAACAGCAAGGAACTTAAGTCTAAAGACAATACATAGAATGGAACTTAAATCTTAAGGCAATACACAGCATGGAACAGACGCACTAAACGCTACCTTTGGCGTTGAGCTCATTCCGCCTCGCCTCCAAACGCCTCAGATTTTGTGATTTATCATTGACGACTATTTGCAAGCCGTCGATCTGTAGGCCAAATTGTCAACGGGTCAATAACGGGGTACCAATATTGAACTACATCACTCTGAAAGTAGCATGACTGCTATACCTGTGATGCTAAATGGCCATTCAATTAGATTTTCCTAAAATCGCGAGTCGCTTTAGATTCTTCATTCTGTTACTAATTTGCTATTTACACTGTAGATCACTGTCCGATGGCAATAAAAAACATCCTCACATTGACAGTGATTAGTTTTAGACTATTGCACAACACTTGACTACATGCAACAATTGACGACTATATATATATATATATATATATATGTATATATATATACATACATACATACATACATATGTATATATAATACATTATATATATATATATATAATGGTTTGTGTGTGCTTGGTTGAGTGAAAAACTAATTAAGTGCGCATATCTCTGAGTGTAGACAAGCTTCGTTTAGCATGTATATGTACTTTTTCTTGGACTAGTCTGAATATGCCCGCCTCTTGATCAGATCATAGACCATACATAAAATCAAACTAAACTCCATCTTCAAGACGTATATACGATATAATACTTCAGTAAGAGGTATCAACAAGCTCAAGGGAGCTGCGTGCATTCGTGCATTTGGATAACCAGCCACAATATTAACACCAGCAGCTAGATATTTCTTAGACCAATCTAAATTGTAATCGCGAGTGCGCGTCTTTTCACTTCCGACAAATCAAATATCGAAGAACTTGAGGGCACGTGGTGGTTTGTACACATACTTTGGAACTTAGGTATGTGCGTAGAGTCTTGTCCTTCGTGCCGGACACATTGGTGGCATCTGCCATGACGGTATCCTTCATGGCCTGGTAAAAGGGGAGAACAGCGATGACTGAATACATGCTTATAGGTGGCTTCTGTTCACTTTAAAAACTAACTGTTTTATTTTTACTTTGAAAGCAATGTAATTTGGTCTACTTAAAATAGCAATTCGTTTTTGAAAGAAAACATAGGCAACTAAACTAGAACAAGGTTTGTGAGAGTGTGTGCGAGGGTGGCAATCCGGTATTGTATACAGCCACTGAAGTACACAATTGTGAAACCAAACCTGCATTTCAAATTACATACCAATAGTGCAAGGATAAAGTGACTTCAAACCATAAAAAAATTGTCTCCACATAAGTATTGTGCTATGCGACAGATTTCGTACCTTTGTGTGAGCAACTATAGCGAAAATCCGTCGTTTAATATGTTAAAAAAAAAGATCGGTCGGGATCAATATACCAAAATCCGCGGTGTATATGAATTAGCACAACAATCGGACTCTAAGTGACAGCATCATAGCCACACAGATACAGGAGCTGTTTACCACGGCAATCACGCATAACCGTCCTCTAGCTCAAACTCACCGGTGCATTAACCAATACTGATACGAGAGAACAGTTCCAACAAATATGAAACGACATTCGCTAGTACGTACACAGATGCAGAATTACGTATATACCTTCACAGGTATGGTGGAAACATACCTTAGGTAGAGTGTGTGTGGGTAGGGTAGCTGTTGCTAGGGACATGGCTAGCTGTAGGCATCAAATAAGCGCATAAACATATTGGTACATGTATAACATAAGGGTAGTCCAGAGCAGGTGAGCGAAAATCTCTATTTTCGGATTAAAGGCCATTTCTGAGAAAAGGAATTTTAAATAGTATATACAATACGTTACATATACATATATAATATGTTTGCACACATATATCTAGACATACATATATAAAATATTTATGCAGATATATGCGTCGGGTGAGGTTGTATATCAATATGTATGTGTATACATAGATAAATATAGTAGTATATATACATCCGTATATATATATATATATATATATATAATATATATATAGATATGCGTATATATGCACACACACAATATATATATATATATATATATATAATATATATTGTGTAAGTAAGTGTGTATGTACGTATATATATATAGATATATATATATGTATATGTATATGTACATAAATATATATTAACACCTATATGTAATTACACCCATAGATATATATATATATTATGCTTGCACACGAGTAACTTATAATCGTACACATAGAAATTTAATTTTTCTAGAGTTCATAATAAAACTGATCCGAACAAAACCTAACACAGTAGAACAGCGGACACTTTTGCATACATGTGTACGGGTAGATATAGAATGCAGCACTACAACCTTGGGAACGTGACAGAAAATTGTTCACACAGTACGTATGCACAAGCCGTGAATCTCACCACAAAAATAATATCCTGTCTCAATAGCTACGTTAGCAATAGCTGAGTTGTAATAGCTCGCCGACCAGACATTCGCTCGCAGATAAAAATTATAACACAATAAACCGCATCCACATGTTAACACAATCCAAATGAAATATCTAATCACTTGACAGGCAGGAGGCCGTCAAAGAAAGATGTCTCTCCAGTTATGTCCAATTGCTCAAATGTAAGTGAGCATGCAACAAGCAAAGGTATCTATACAATAGTATATTGTGAGGGTCAGGTACTTGATGTACTTGCAACTACCCCTGATTTCCCACCTACACCCTCTTGCGTTGCTACAAAAACTGTACGTTATAGATGGCAATTTCGTGTATAGCATACAATACACACACACATACCCATACGATGTACATCCGTAGATACATACCATGTACACACATATACACGCGTGCAGAGTCCAAGACAGACTATACCTGATGGATTGATAGAATTTGTCACGCCACTGCGAGAAACCTTTACTGCAGTGTCTATTTGCAATCGAGATTGGCTTCTATTTACTATCGACAATATACTAATGATGATGGGAGTGTGCGATTTGCGATAATTGGGGAATGGAATATTTGTATTTATGTACGTAAACAAAGGGTCACAATTTTCTATAAATAAATAAATAATTAGAGGTTTTGACAACTCTACTCTCGTCTATAAATAGAATTGCGGGCGCGCCTCTTTTCTCCAATCAGAATGCAAATGATGATTTAGATTATGTAGTGGACCTGTGGAACTCACTTACAATATGTACGCAATTCTTTTTAAACAGTATCACATAAAGATGGTGCATGTATCTATATCCGACGATTCATGTCACCTCCTCTCTATTTAACAGTACCACTTCTCTCTACAGAGTACAGCGCAGTATTTCAGGCATGAGTCCGATCTATTTCAAAACAAATTATTCATAGAAAGAGATTTACATTAATCCCTTCCTGGGAACCACAAGTCAAAACAGCCCAGTATGAAAATTATAGTACTTAAATCCAATACAAACTATACACACCAATCACCATGACCGGTAGACCAGCCGCAACTGATGGTTTCTCTGGTGTCCATAAACAAAGAGAAGCCACGTCCCGGAAGAAGCTTTCATTGAAGCGTAGACCGATTGGCGCGGTGAAGAGTGATATTCATCAATCGGTATGATATTTATATTCGATATGTGCTTGGTAGTGAGGGATCGATATCACATTCATACCCTTGTCGATACACAGATACATACGCGTGTCCCAAAACTGTGGGATGGATGAAGCTGTATATATATATATATACAGTACTGTGGCATATTGATTAAGTGATATATAGACATGTGTGTACACCTCTGGGCTGCTACATGTCACCACCGCCTTGTTCGGTGGCCAATATTCTCGTCTAGTATATATCAGCATTAGCATACCGAGGTTAAATGATGCATCAATTGTGATTATAAATTTGTTTTTATCACGTATGTTGGTCATATAAATATCAAACACTTGCTTCTGAAATGTTGCACTTTGTCTTGTGGAATTGAGAATATGGATACACATTCATATTTACAGCGTTTATGACTATACCACATCATGTGAACACCCAGTACATAAGATATATTGTATGAAGGTTTTAACAGATAGAAAATTGTGTATTGGTGTATATGAATGCTGCAGAGTAGTCCAGGATATATAGAGTACTGTAAATATGTATACGTGCACCTGAAGATGTTTGCTATTATACATGCACACACACACACACACACACACACACACACACACACACACACACATATATATATATAGTAGTAGGTAGGGTATTAGTTAGTTGTGTCGTGTGTATAGTGTGTTGTAGTGTGTTCTATATATAGTATACTATATATATATATATATATA